AGAGTGTTAAATATTTACAAAAGAGGCTACATCTACACTGCAGGCTTCTTGCGCAAGAACTGTTTTGCACAAGAGTTTTTGTGCAGAGTTCTTGCACAAGTGAGCGTACACACTGCCATGTGCTTTTGCACAAGAGATGTGCTTTTGCGCAAGAGCGTCCATGGCAATGTGGATGCTCTCTTGCACAAGAAAGCTCTGATGGCCATTTTAGCTATTGGGGTTTCTTTCACAAGAAATCCATGTTGCCTGTCCACACTGCCTTCTTGCACAAGAGCTCTTGTGCAAAAAGGCTTATTCCTCATGGGGAGAGGAATAACTCTTCCGCAAGAAGCCCGCTTTTCCAATGCTGTGCTATAAATTTACTTGTGCAAGAACGCACATGAAGTGTAGACACTCTGCAAGTTTTTGCGCAAGAACAACTGTTCTTGCGCAAAAAGCCTGTAGTGTAGATGTAGCCAGAGTGTTTTTCTTCCATGTGTCTCAGGAGTGTGAGTTCACTGATTCTTCTCAGCTGTACTGAAGCCCTTTTAAGTTGCTCCATTGGCAAAAAGGAGCTAGAAATTACCTCTGATCGATGTCATCTCCATAAAGGGGTTTTCAGCTGGTGGAGAGCTGCTGAAATAACACCATCAGTCTCCTCTTTCTGCTCCCAACATAAGGATGAGAGGATAGGGTCAGGAAAGAAGTAGGGGCAAAACACACTGCACTGCACTGCAACACCTAAAGAGGCCCTTGCAGCCAGAAGATAAGGCAGGTCCATTCTGATTTCTCCAGAAATCCAAGGAGTAAAAAGGTGGCATAAAGCAGCAGAGAAATAGAATTTTTAAAAGCATTTATCTTTATCTTTTTTCTACAAATGAGTAGAAGGGAACTATTTGGTGGTGGTGATACATTTGTAAGGTTGTAGTCAATGATTTGGTCAAAATAGTAGAATAAAGTAGTAATAAGGCACACAGAAATAATGGAAGCCATGAGAGAGCGAAGGGCAGAGAATGGTTCAACTATAAGTTCTAGGATCTGTTTTTTTAAATTAAGGCTGAGGAGGAAAAAAAGACAATTGGGGTTTTTTTCTATTTATTTTATAACTGCAAAACGATTGGTTTGAAAATATATGCACAATTAATATGACAAACGTGCCAAGAAATCCACTTTAATTTCAACTGACAGTCACACTTTCAAAACAAGGAAACACATCAGCAAATGGTAGACATTTAAGGCCAAATTCTGGGACTTCTTCCACAGGTCTAAATCTGGAATACAACTGCTTATGCAGATGTTAACTGATCAATGCTCGGGATCAGCATCTTCAGCTGGTATAATTCTCTTGAATTCTTCCAAGGCTTAGTCTGCACATAGAAGTGCTACCAATAAACATTACGTGATGCTCCACTTCCATGAATTCATAGTTATTTATAGCTGTGCAGAGTTGAAGTAGAACCCTTTCAAATCAGAATGGTATTATTTTACCTCTCCCCACCACCACCTTTGTGCTCTTTTTTTTATAGCATTTTACACCACTTTGCACAAGTATCAATGACTAAACACATTTAATGCAAAGAGGATCAGGCCTTATGCTGCTGAAGTTTTAAGGGCTAAATTACATTCTAAGTTTCACTGGTGTCAATCTGGGATAACTGTATTACTCCAGCTCTATCTGGGTGTAACTAAAATCAACATAAAATCAGACTTTCAGTTCTGTTCTGGGGTCTCAGCCCATGAGACCCAGAATTCAGCATTAGTGCTCATCTGCACATATATCCCCCCATGAAAAATTCTGACAAGCAAAAACATTTTGTTTTCTTTGAAATGTCATTTTTCCCCTCTGAAAACTCAGGGGCTATGTCTACACTGCAGGCTTCTTGCGCAATACATTTTTGTGCAAGAGTTCTTGCGCAAAAGTTCTTGCGCAAGAGCGCGTCCACCCTGCCATGTGCTTTTGTGCAAGAGCATCCATGGCAGCGTGGATGCTCTCTTGCGCAAGAAAGCTCTGATGGCCATTTTAACCATAGGGGTTTCTTGCGCAAGAAACCCCTGTTCCCGTCCACACTAGCCTTGTTGTGCAAGAACTCTTGCACAAAAAGGCTTATTCCTCTTGGGGAGAGGATTAGCTCTTGCGCAAAAAGCCCTCACGTCTGACGATCTACTGTAAACTTTCTTGCGCAAGAATGGGCTTGTAGTGTGGACACTCGCAAATGTAGACATAGCCTAAGAATTTGGCTAAAAACAGGAGTGGTGGCACAAACTGGGAGCTGTTGTTTGCTCCTCTGTGGGCTGGAATCATCAGATGCACTACATCTGTCAGAATTAGGCTTTAAAGGATTAGATCTTTAAGTATCAGTAAATGTCAATTTCACCATACAAACCAATCAAAATGTTGCCCATCAGCAATGACAGAAATTTACAGATAGGCAAAAGAAGAAAAATGCTGCTTCAGAGCTTAGAGTTTGATTTTAGCAAATCTATTTGGCATATTTTGATAGATGTTGACAATTTGTGTTTTAACTGTTCTAAAGCTTTAACATTTTGAATCTTAACATCCTCTGTTGCTAAATGGTTATTGTATGGACACTCTACCCCAGTCCCCCACTTTCTGGCAACTGTGAAAGTTTAAATTGATAAAATATTTTAAAATAGTTTAAAATAAACATCATTGTTGTCCATCAATATTATCATAAAAGTCAAATTCAGACAAATGGACTCATAATGCTTTCTGATTGGCCCTCTTGGTAAGGAGAAGCTTATGGAGTTTCTGAGCAAGGTGCAGTATGGGAGATAAAGTCTAGAAAGGGTACATGAGGAGCAAACTGCAACTCCTCAGAGGTACTACAGCTCCAATTTTCAGCCAAAATATTTTAGCTTGTAGCTGAAATATTTCAAAAAACATTTTTGTGTAGTCAAGAACCCAATTCTCCTTCAAAAACAGTTTTGATGGGAATATTTTGACCAGCCCTAGTTTGTATAAAGTGATGTCCATCGGTTTTCTCCTTTGCAAAACTTCATGCTGGGAGATGTGGAAGGTGCAATACACAAAGGAAATGCATAACATCTGATCATGGCAGAGAAAACAAGAATGGGGAAAGATCTGAATGAGTAATGTAGACAGTCTCCACTCTGGATTTTTTTAACCATATCACCTTCCACCTGGGAATCTCAAAGCATTTTTACAAATATTATTGACTTATACTTAATGGAAAAATTATCCTCATTTTATAGATGGGGAAACTGAGGCACAAATCAGTGCCAATTAGAAGGAAAAAAATCCCTAATCTTGTAAATTGTGTTCTCACACTTCAACATAAGATCAATTTCCCATCTCAAGAATGAACAGTGATTTTTTATTCTTACAAGAGCACCACACAGCCAGCTGTTTTGGATTCTGTTTTGGACAAGGAGTGAGACCAAGTGGAGGATAATTAATCTATGAGATTCTGAAACTGATCCCTTGCTTTAGTTCTCAAGAAGGTGCAGTGGGCAATATTTTTTCTCTGTATGTACAGCACCTAGCACAATTAGGTGCTAGTCCATGACTGGGAGCTTTGTTGTAATAACTGGGCCTAAAAATTTACTTTAATTGTGATCTAAACTGAGAGAAGTGAAGGAATGAATGCTGAACATCACAGTAACCTATAACAATAAACATGGAAGTGCAACACACAATAAAATGTATAAATTAATAATGGTTCCCCTGCACATAAGCCATTATTAGTTGGCTCATTCCTTAGGTGTCATGGGAGACTTGACCATCTGAATCTCTAAACTATTAAACTGATGTTATATTTGAACTGGGTCAAAAGGCCATTAACCCAGCACTGAACTTCTTGGTCTCTGAATCTAAGCTCCTCTAGCTTTTCAAGTCGATAAGTCACTTTGTACATCTTATTTCAATTTCTTCTCTTAGCAATAGGGAATTGAAACCCTTGTTATGACACTGAAAAAGTCTCGGGCCAACTGCTGTAAATCAGTATAGCTTAGAACTTGTCCTCAGATGTCATTTCAAACAAGCACACATAAAAACCACTCAGTGCAACATAATGAAACTTGGCCTCCACATAGCAATTTTCAGATAAGGATCTGTGTGTTTTACAAACAACTAACCGTTCTCACACTGTGATCCAATATGTATAATTGTATTCATTTTTGTCTTACTTTTTGGTCAAAGAATGGAATACCATAAATGAATACCTTACTAATTTCTCTGGCGGGGTCAGGAATAAAACCCACAGTTAGTAATGGACCAATCCTATAATCACTATACCAAAACCAATGTAATTTTCATTTGAATTATTGAGGGGCTTTTTGGCTTCTGAATTACAGTCCAATAATTGGGAGAACCGATTCCAAACTTATGTGTGTACGGTAGACACAAATATTAAATACGAAGTCACTAGAAAGAAGCAATTTACAATAGGAAAAGTCAGTAAATCGCAGGAAGCAGGTATATTTCCTCTCTTCCATTGCTTTGGAAATGCAATGCATTAATACAAAAGTGTCACAATGATGCTTTTCCCATGTTTTTAAGCAGCTGAATTACACCACCGTCTGCTGGAACTTGGCTTTGGAACTTCTTCTTGATGATTCCCATTTTTCTGCTCTGAGTTTGGTCCCCAAGATTAGATAGCAATGTCCCAGATTCATCAGCATGAGCTGCTAATTGCTGAATATGCTTTTTTTCCAGTATGAATTCCTAGTACAAAAAGAGACATGCAGACATGCTTTTTTCTATGCAGACATTCACTCATGGAAAGACTCCATCCTGCAGCCCTTACTCGCATGCAGTCTCTCTGATGATACTAAGCAGCAGTTTTAAATACTGTCCATTGTGAGATATTCTGAGTAAGGGATGCAGGATTAAGCTCACTGGCTCCACTGTAGCAAGGTAATTAAACACATGCTTAATTTAAAGCATGTGCATATTCTCACTGAAGTCAATGGGTCTTAACTTATGGCTAACTTTATGTGCTTAAAGTTAGTCATATGCTTCAGGATCTTGCTAAACTGGAGGTTTAATCTGCCATTTATAAAAAATGCAAATCAGTTGTGTCAATTCTTTCTAATGCCTCCAGTCCTCAGGAAGCTCCCTACACAAACTACAATCTTGTCTGAACGGTAAGTGCATGTTTAAAATTGGCATAGTGTGGTGTTTTAGATGCTGCTTGTAATTATTAGAACTGGGAGCACTGGCTGTTGGGAATCTGGAAGCACAGGAAACAGGAAGGAGGGGGGAGGAGATGGGCCAGGCCTGAGTGAGAGCTACAGAGGGGAGCAGCAGCAGCAGCAGCTTTGTAAAGAGGTTTCACCTTTGTTAAATAGAGGCCTGTTGAAGTGTGTTACTACCTTGCTTGCATGATACAATACATAGATGGTCAGCATTACTTTCACCGTACAACTACCTTGCTTGCATGATACAACACATAGATGGTCAGCATTACTTTCACCATACCTGTATCTAAAACACTGTTTCTGCTGAAAACCTGCAGGTACCACATGGCCCAAACCCCTGCCTTGCAATGCAGACAGTACTGGTATTTCAATCATGGTTCCTAAGTTGAGCTGTGCATGACACTACTGGTACTGCAGGCTTCTGTGGTTCCCAGGGTTTACCTTAATGATGAGCTGCAGTGCTGATCCCAGAGCACTGCAGCCACCCTGCCCCAATTCAGCAATGTACAGTAGCCACCAGTAGGTACAATGGCTCCCAGCCCCAGCCTCATAACCAAGAGCAGGCTGAATGCCATGGTGAATGAGAGTGTGTGCAGTACAGGGCATCCCCGCTACCAGTCACCCTTGTATACATCTGTTCTGCACTAAAGTTGATGCTTGTAGGAACTGACGTGTTATGAGTCCTCCTGTTCCCCGTTCTGAAGTAGCATACAAAAAAAAAAAAAAAGCAGCACAAATGGAAGTCAGCTGCAGGAAAAAAATTCCCTGCTTTAAGTTGTTTCGCTATAAGTCCAAGTTTTTTGGAATGTATCTTGGACTTACAGTGAGGATGGCCTGAAGAATGGCTGGTGGCCAGTCCAGAGCTAAGGTCCCAAGGCCTGGCCTTGCACTTTGAGTGCCTAAAGAACAAGGCTATGCAGGACATTCAGACTACTTCCCTTTCTGAGGAAAGGACTGACAACTTGCTCTGAAACCCAGTTCCCTGTGCACCTACTTAGTGCCTTATCCTGCAAGCCTGGCATGCATGACAATCCCAGTGAAGGTAATGGCGCATTCACATGTAGGCTGCTTACTGGACCTTTAACTTGGCTTAACAGCATATCAGAGCATTTACTACAATTAGTACAAAAGACTGGGGCATGCTACTTTTTCTGGGTAAACTTGCCATTGACTTCAATGGGGCAGAACTTCACCCTGTGAGTTTTTGGCAGCTGTAATTAGAAAGCTTTGTTTCTTCCCATCACTATTTCCTTTCAGAGATTTTGCCATCCACTAGAAAATGTACTCGTGGCAAGAGTGGTCCAGTGAAAATAGCATTGGGTCTACAGGTGTGAAATTCTAGCCCCACTGAAATCAATGGCCAAGGCTCCAATTGAGTTTGGTGTGGCCATGATTTCACCCTAAGATCCTAGGCCTGGACCCTCCCCCATCCCATATCACAGCCCTCCCACTGGGGAGTTAAATGCTTAAATATCTTTAAGGATCTGGGCCATAGAGACACAGGGCTATATCCTCATCTGAGGTTCACCCCTGGGGTTATATTCTTGCCTCTGTCACTGACTCCTACTTTGACACATGCCCTCTGTGCTTCCGTTTTCCCTTCTGTGAACAGGAGGTCCTTCTGTGAACTCACAATGGGGAAGGAATGGGAGGAACACATGAGAAAATTCTAAATGCTAAGTACAATTGGCAAGTTCAGCACAGTTCTCACTCTCTCTCGCCATATCCATAACTAGGGTTCCATAGGGATTCACTTACACCAGCACCCTGCATGCTCAGAGGCTTTCTTCTAGGATATTCTGCTCCACAGTCTTTTGTTCCCAGAGGACTGAGGCCTAGAAAGATCTGCTTTGGAGAACATGTTCTGACATATTTCAGTCAAGAACTACAAGTCTACCTATAATGGCTTTACATACTGTCTGCAGGCAGATGTACTAAGTGGGTTCTAATCTACTGAAATTAATTACATTGTGATAGCAAAAAAGACCAGAACTCCTTTTTATAATGTTGCATGGCTGTAATACTATAATAGTATTTTGTTCTGCTATAGCACCTTGTATCCCTGAACTTCATTGTTTTACATGGTTTGCTTGATTAAGCTTCAGAGGACACTGGAGAGGTTAGGAAATGATACTCCAGTGTTACAGATGGAAACCAGGGCACAGAGCCAGAAGTGACTTGCTGACCATCACATAGTACATAATGGGTATGTCTACACTGCAGCATTTTTCCAGAAAAAACTATACTTACGTCCACACTGTTATTACATTCTTTTGACAGAAAGTTGAAAGAATGGAGGGGGTTTTCTGACAGTGGTAAACATTTTTCTACGAGGATGAAGCCTTTTTCCAAAAAAGTTCTCTCAGAAAAAGGTGTGCGAGGATGCAGAAAAGGGAGTTCTTTTGAAAGAAGAGGCCCCCGGGAAATAACACTGGTGCCCTGGTGGCTACTCCATCCATACTAATCACAACTGAAATGCGAGATGGCATCAAATCATTACTTTTTTGTTGCGCTTTTGCTGTGTGGATGCTCTCTTTCGAAATAAGCTTTTCTAGAAGATCTCTTCTGGAAAAGTTTCTTCCAAAAGAAGCTTGCAGCCTGGACATAGCTAATGTGTCATTAGGAGAGCTGGGAAATGAACTCAGGTTTCCTGATTCCCAGTTCTGGTTTTTAACTGCTACACAGTGTGCCCTCTCCCACTGCACAGATAGCCAGCCTCTACGCATGCTGCTAGTGCGTGCATTGCTGTGTTTGCTAGAAGGCTCCAAACCACACATCCTTGAATGAACCAGACATCAAAATTTTAGCTGCTTATAAAATCTGTACTCCCTCAGCAGCAGGCAGCACACCGTCCTTAGCAGCTCTTCTATAAATCCTACAGCAGCGTGTTACTTACTTGGATCATGTCCAGTTTCGACAACCATTCCATTTCCTGCAAGGGGCCATAGTGCTGCATGTGGCATTGCTCAGCCAGGTTGGAGATAGCTAGCAACAAGCTGCCTAGTTCTTGACTCTGCAAAGGCAAAAATGACATGGATCAATTTTGTTCCACCAAGCACTTTGCACACATGTACGCAGGATTGCCAGCCTCCAGGAAGAGGAAATACCTCTCAAGTTCACTGCATAGTTTGACTGGGAAACAGTTCTGCTGTGAGATCTAGATTCTTCTCAAAAAGTGGCCCAGCTGTGCTGCTACCTATACCTCTGCCGCCATTTCCTCCTACATCCCCTCTCTTGGCTCCTCTTTTCTATCCAAGCTTCCCTCTTCCCTCCTCACTTTGCGCTCTTCTTTGCACAAGGTATAAATCCTCAGCTTCAGCAACCACCAACACTGACACTGATCCTTCTAGTCTACACCGGGGAATCCCCCTCTTAACTGTGTCGTTTCCCTCCTTCTAGATGTCTTGTCCCCTGTGGGGCTAGTAGGATTGGAATCCCTCCAGACTGTGTGCAAGCCTGGCAATGTTCCCATAAGCCCTTGCTGCCTCTTGCCTGGGCTGTCTATTATGTCCCAGTCCATGGCATGACTCCCACTCGCTGTCATAGCTGTCTCACTTGGTGAGAAGCAGCAGCACTAGTGAGAGCGAGCTGTGCTAAGTGTCTGCTCTGGGTCAGGAGAGGCACAGAACAAGGTCACTGCAGGAAAGTGAAACCTAGGAAAGATGAAGGAATGAGTGGGGAAAAAGAGAAACCAGAGGGAGCTGTGGAAGCGGGGAAACAGAAGGATGCGGAACTGGAGGAAAATTGGATTTGAGAGAGAATTGGGAGAGACCAGAAAGGGAGCTGGGAAACATGGTCAAGAGGGAGATGAAATGTAACAGAGAAAATATGGGTAGCAACTCATATATGGAATGGATGTGTCCACGGATCAGGAGTTAGACTGGAGAAGTTGCTCAAGGTTTCAGCTATAGGAGAAAGAACATGTTCTTGTGTAGAAAAGATTATGCTTCAAAGCCTTGACTATTTAGACCAGGGACTGTCAATCAGTTAGAGACGAAGAGCCAAAATAGCTGTGGATAGATTATGAAGAACCACCTATTATGTATTTATTTTTATATATCTATATATAGATAGATATAGTACACAAAATGTAGTGATAAAAATAACATTACAGGACATTTTGTCAAAAACCAATAAAAATGTCTCTAGTCACTTAAAAAATTCACAGCCACTTCATAGATCTTCAGAGAACTTGACAAGGAACAAACATCACATTTTTAAAAATACCAACCCCCAACTTGACAAGGAACAAACATCAAATTAAAAAAAAATCTTTACAAATACAGTAATATTCTCACACTAAAAAACAAAAACAAAAACCAAACACATACCCACCATGTATTTTAAATTTAACACTACTGCCCTATTATGTCCTGTGAGTTTTTTAAAATTAAACTGAACTGAGAAGTAAAATAGCACAATTTTATCTCTGGTAGGGTTTCCTCTTTTTTTTTTTTTTAAACTTATGAAGATTATGGCTTTTTTATAGTTCTAAAAATTCAGGTCTGTCCTAGACTGCAAATATGAGAGGTTCAAAAACAATAAGGGAGAGACTCATATCTCAGAATAATTGCTTCCGCCTAGCAAACAATAGCCTTTGAATTTTCTTTGAAGAAACAAAGTGTAAACCAGGTACATGCTGATTTTTTTTTGCCCTGGAATTTAAATATGGCATCTGTGTTGGCTGTCTTATTCTGCATCCATGAAGACTTTGAGTTTAAGGTGCTTCAGTCCCCCGCTGTAACCCAATCCTCCTCTCCCCCAGAGCCAGGCACTCCCAACCCCTCCGCTCTAATCCAAAGAACCCCCCAGAGCCCGGCACCCCTGATCTAACCCAACGCCTGGGTCCCAGAGCTGCTGCCATGTACTTCTCTCTTCAGGTGCTGGGGCGCGTGCGCAGAGCGGCTGGCTGTGAGCAGGTACTGGGGCACATGTGCAGAACTACCAAGTGCCACATTTCTTTAAGCAAAGAGCCGCATTCAGCTCAAGAGCCACAGGTTGGCCACTCCTGATTTACATAGTTCAGACAATCAGGACATGTCTACACTAGGAAATTATTCTGAAGTAACTTATTTTGGAATAATAACTCCCAAAATAACTATTTTGAAATAGTCCATCCACACTACATGGAAGCCTCAAAATTAGTCCAGGGCAGGTTCTCTTAATGTGGAGGCATTACCTCGACTTACTGACCCAGGAGGCACTGGGGAGTAATTACTTTTAATAACTCTGGGCTATTTTGAAATAACCATTTCAAAGTGTTATAAGTGTTATTCCTCGTGGAAAGCAAGAGTTATTATTTCAAAATAACAGGCTTGGTAGTGTGGATGCTCCGCTTGTTATTTTGAAATAAGGGAAGTTATTTCAGGGCTCAGTGACAAGCTGTTTTCACAAATATACACTCCTAGCAAAATCAAGGAAGTTCAAATCCACTGCTTGAAACTGGGCTAAGCTTTGCTGGCCACAAGGAATGGTCTATAGCCACTTTGTCTGCCAATCTTAGGGGATTGCAGAGCTGTAGCTACATCAAGGGCTAGTCAGTGATGGCTGTAGGGGCAAATCCTGAGCGTAAACAGAGCTTGAATCCATCCCTAGAAATCACTAAAGATGTCGTGTTTGGAGCAAGTTGCTGCAGATTTTAAGGTAGTTTGTGGCTTTAACTTTTTTTTTTAGTAAGAACTGAAGTTTAAGAATATAGGGCCAAACTCTGAGCTCCTTACTCACACAACATTCTCTCCTCCTCCCACCCCCAATTTCAATGAGGACAAACCCTGACTTGGAAATTTAGCCCACAGCAAACACCAAACAAACTAAATGAAAGTAAGTGGATAGCAAACCAAGAAGAGGGATGATGTGTCTTAGAACCAAGTTAATGACTTCTGGGAGTGCATGCTGTGAACTCCCCCAGGTGCCTTCAGGGGAGATGGATCAGGCCATGAATGTTTGTGATCGCTTTTGTGTGCCAGTCTTTTCAGGTTGAACCTGGGTCTCCTCTGTTTTATCCATAGCTCATGTTGTGATGGACGGAAGAGAGGACTCTTTTGAACGTACCTGATATCGGAAGTGACCTTTCTCATGGTTAATAATGACATCCAGCTGTTTGTTTTTCTCCTGTATTCTGTTGTACGTCATTTGAAGCTCAGACAGTTCCCTAATCAGCATCTAGGCAAGGTAAATAAGAATGCTCACTTGAGATGTGCACTGCACCGCAGAAGGCATCTAGTCCTAGTGTCTTCCTATTCTCCAGGTGGCTTTCAATTTGATGGATCCCAAAGCACTTTACAAATTAATTAACTATTCTGCTCACAGCAAGTCACACACAGAGGCTGCTGGATCTGTTCAAAGAGTGTTGCATAGCCTAGGTTACCAGCATGGTCCGTAGCCACAAATCTGGAAGACGGGGCAGTTCCGCTCTCAATTACAGTGATGCAAGTCTAAAGCAACTGCAATACAATTAGAGCTTGTTCAAATGGGAAGTTACTCTGGAATCATATAGGGTGCAAATTTAAAGAGCAACAGCAATTCTGAATTATTTCTTCATGTGGACACACTTATTCTTGAAGGCAAGTGTCCACAATAGGAAGCAACTCCAGCATAGTTATTCTAGGTCAACTTCCCCACTCTGGATTTAAACTAACATAACTGGGCACAGAATTTGGCCCCTGATGTCAAGTTCCTGGCCTTTGAAGGAAAAATGCTTCCGGGGGCAACTCGGGTGTTACTGTGATGACCACCATCTTGGCCAACACACAAAGCAATGAACAAGGCCATTGAAAGAGCTGGGAACCATACATCTTTATAACTTGAGCTGAAGAGCCAGGCCTTTGCTACATCTCTTCCTCTTCCTATGTAGGAGCCTGGATCTGGCCCTCTGAAAAGATTAAGGATTATTCACTGATTAAAAACAAAACACGCTTAGAAATTTCTCTTTAAGGAATCTGCTTCCGTGGCCATGTTTGTATATGTGGGTCAACATTGTGCTACTAGATCCATAATGTGGACCATTACTGCACAGTCTGCCCATGGGCCTGACTTAGTAACCATGGGATATTTCTGATGAGGGAGGGAATACAGAAGGTGCCATAGAGATTGAGATCACTCATCTGATAGCAGAAATTTGCCCAGGGTAATCACATGATGAGAACTTACTTAGTGTTTGTGATCAGCAGACAATATTCAAAAAACCATCCTTTTCAGCAATTACATAGGGATCTAGAATTGCCAATTTTGGCTGGACTAATTTCTGAAAGTTTCATCACTTGGCACAATCTTTAATTGATCTTTAATTCTGGGCAGTTTGGTAGGGCTGGAGGATAGATCCTATCTAAGGGTTGAGTGAAAGTCACTGGTGCTCAGCATTATACTGAATCAGACTGTAAGGATATGGCTTAGCACTCTTGGACTAACTACTATTCTAATGTATAAATAACATGCTTGATAACATTACAAGTTTTGTGGTATCATGTTCCCGTAGCAAGGTTTCAAGGTCACGCTGGCTTTTCTCATAGTCATCTGACAGGGCGATCGAGTTCTTTATCAAGGTCTGGTTTGTAGACAACAGCATGTCATGCCGCCTGATAACAGCTCCAATGACCAAGTCTGCACCACATCCTAGATCGTCTGTAGCAGAGCAGAGGGAAAACACAGCACAAAGGGGAAATGGGTTTAGCTTACAGTGCATTAGACACACTATTTTTCTTCTTTTCAAGTTATGTACTGGCTCTTTTAAGGAATTGAGGGCATCTCTACATTGCAGTTAAACACCGACAGGTGGCCCATGTGCTGACAAGGGCTTGTGGGACTCAGTCTGGAGCCAGGGCACTGGACCCTCTCCTTTCACCAGATTTCATAGCCTGATTTTCTGCCCAAGCCTAAGTCATCTGACATGGGTCAGCTGCGGATGTTTTATTGCAATGTAGACATACCCTGAGTGGCTCCTGGGTGGCAGCTGCGGATGTTTTATTGCAATGTAGACATACCCTGAGTAACTCCTGGGAAATATCATGTATTCCCCACTCATGCACTTTCCAGGAGAGGCCAGCACCGTGCACAACCGGGCCCTGTGCATGCTACATAAATCTTTTCCCATGAAAATTGACTCAGTGTTGCCAACAGCAAGCATTCAAAGTCGATGAAGTTTTAACATCATGAGATTTAAAAAATATATATTTAAAAAATATTAAATGTGGAGTTTTATATTTGCATCTCCATTTTTGAAGCATTTAATGTTCATTTTCAACCTTTTCTCCACAGCCACAAGCTGACATTTTTAAAATGAAAGCTGAGATTCTTACACATTCAGGTGACTTCAGGGGCTGGGAGTTTAAGATAAACAAGTATTGCGAGACTCATGATAAAGTTGCAGGAGTTGGAAATGTTGTAATGACTATCTGACATTGACAAAAAAGACCTCTTGTTTCTTTGCCTTTCTCTGCAGCATGTAGGTGTGGGTCAGTTTCCAAGGAAAATCTGGGTCCATGTCACTTAATCAGTTCCCTGCCATTGAAGGAGCCTTAGGCTTTGGTGCATCAGTTCCTCCTATTTTTGCCTGTGGCACACAATAGTCTGGTCTCCTGTGGTCTGTAATACTTTGGTCTAATTTCAGTTAGACCAAAGGTTGGTGCTGGGTGGGGCTGGTGGCCTGTGATATAAAGAAGGTCCCACTATGATCTGGTGATTCTTTCTGGCCTTAAATTTTATGACAATGTCTCTATGATACTATAATGCAGCCCATTTTAAGATGCACTTAAATGTAGCTGCTTCTCTCTACCACTGGATGGCATTAGTTCTATTTCAGGGACATTTAACTTGTCGAATGCTTGGCCAGAGACAATAGTTTTTCACAGGGCAGAGTACTGATACAGGTTGGACATCTCTTATCTGGCACCCTCGGGACCTGACCCATCCTGAACTAGGAAATTTGCTGGACTAGAGATAATTCCCTGCCACAGCTCCCAGCTGCCAACTCTGACAGCTGGGGGAAGCCTGCTCAACTGCCTGCTGGGTTGCTGTTCCCGCTGCAGCTGCTGCCCCAGCCAGACTGCCTGCCGAGCCCCAGCAACCCAAGCTGCTGGGGGCTGCCTCTGGCCCTGGTCGGGCTGCCAGAGGTTCTGGCTCCAGTCCCAACCCTGCAGCAGCTTGCAGGCTCTGGCCTTGCTTCTGTGGGCTGTCCTGGGCTCCAGCCCCACACTGCTGGGGGCTGCCCCCAGCCCTGGCTTTGGTTCCACTTCCACAGGTTGCCCGGGACGGGCTGCCCTGACACAGACCAGTGCTGCAGGCTGCAGGGGCTGCTGCAAGCTTCTACCCCATCCTGCTGCTTCAACTCAGCCCTTCCTGAATTGCCCTCCTGCCACTAGGTTACCGGGGTTCTCTGATCAACAAACATCCGTGGTCCTGCCAGACCAGAGAAATCCGGGTTTGGGAGGTGCAACCTGTACCAAAGAACAGCAAGAGAATCTGTGAGTGCTGAATTGGAACAATTCGATTCAGGTTCTCTAGCAATAGAATGAGACAAGGGAATCAAGATTTTGTACCAAAAGTAAAATCTGGCATAAAAGAGTCTACTCTTCAATCATGAAGACTGAGTCATTTAAACAGGTGATCCCATCAAGCAAACTTGACTACCCTGTGAAGGAAATCTGGTAACTTTACATAGCTCAGGTTCTGAATGTTGCTAAGAGATGTATAACCTAAATACTTAACACCTAACTAGATGTTAAGTGGCTGTCAGAAGAGATAATAATCTGTAATCTTTCTGATTATCTGAAATAATCTGATTATCTTTCAGTGCACAATTATCACTTCAGGCTAGAATCTAGGCTAGGGATCCATGCTGTGAAATACTTGAAAGACCTCAGACAGAAGTTCTGATGCAATTATTCTATGAGAGATGAGGAATAATCAATTAAGTAGCTGATCGTTTATCTGATATGCAAATGAAAAGCTGCACCATATTTGCTTGATAGGAATACACTGAAAAATAAGACATCATTTAAAACTAGAAGTGCTTATATCACTCTTCCACTCCTATAAGCTAAAATTGGTGACCCCTTAGTCAAAAGCAAAAATATTTATGACCTCATTACATTTTGTATAATAGTAAGAGTAGCAAGGTGTCAATGATAAATTCTATAGGCTTATCATTGTTATTTGTGCATTGAGATATTGTCAGAGAATGCTTACCTTGCAGGGCAAGAGATTAGGGTGTGGGGAATGGAGAAGAAAGAGTTCCTTCGTTTTATAGCGTAATAAAATATTTAATGCCTCCCTCTACTTCCTCTACCCCCGATTGTCTTTCACGATATCACAATACGTGGGCTGCAACTCACAGGCTGAGAGACTGAGTGAGAAGTTAGTTTGGAACACCTTTTAGTGGCTCCCATTCTTTAAAAAATAGGGAAGGAGAAATGGTCTGGGCCCAGGATGTCTAAAAGGCACCTGATGCTCTGGCAGGAAACATCTGTGAACCATCACTCTGCTGCTTGGCATTATGGATCTGCCCACTGCAAGGGTAACGCTTAGCTTTCTTGGGACCTGTTTCATGGTTGTGGAATAAACTGCTAAAGGAGCTAAGAACTGCCTGAACCCTTCTCACATTCTTTTCCAAGGATAAGCTGCATGTCAGACTTTGCCTTCTATATCAAACATGCAGAATGGAGCAGAAATAAAATACCTCCATTTAAAAAAATAATAAATCCCCAGGCCACTCCCTGAATAGATGAGTATATCTTCTAGGAAAGGGAAGATGGGTTAAACTAGCCCTTGAGTACAGGGACAGTGGGGACAATATTCCCACCTACTTTTATCCTGCATAACTATCGGAATTGGCCTATCGGTATGGTCCAGGTAGGCCTGGGCAATTTATCTTGCCCATCAGACAAAACAATACAGGCCACACAAAAATGGATTTGACTCACTGAATTGCCTCAATTATATTGCGATGGTCGAAATTCTGCTTATCAGGCATGTTCGTGACTGAGGAACAAAAGCTGGCAGATACTCTAGAATATGTGGGTTCCCTTTAGTTATAAAGACACTCACTATTGCCAATGATTAGGCTACATAGCCAGGTTACAGGAGCAAAAAGGAAACAGTGGACGTTACTAATAGTATGCGTTAAAGAAACTGTAGAGCCTGTGTACGAGCACTTACTATCAGGCAACAGGTCAATCATTTTCAGTAGGAAATCTTCATACACTTTGTGCTTGGCTGCCTTCTTCTGCAGATTCTGTTGTCTGTAAAAATGCAGCAAGAGATGTGTAAGGTTTAATAAAAAATCAATGAAGCCATGGGCGATAATTACATAAATCCTCTGTGTCAAGTATGGCTTCTTGTCATGCTTGCACTATTCCACGAAAAAGGATTTCCCTGATAGTAATGAGAACAATGGTGCAAGTACGCTGAATATAAATGGGTACATCTAGACTGCAGAGATTTTCTGGGATACCTCCGATATCCCGGAAAAGCTCTGCCTCATTCGAGGAACGAGTCTGCTTTTCCGAAAATATTTTTGGAAAAGCAGTGCGATTTTTCAGCATCCCTGTAAACCTCATTCTATGAGGAAGAAGGGATGTTCTGAAAGAGGCTTTTTCCCCCCAACATTTGGCCCAGCATGGATGGGCCAATTGTCAGAAAAGTCTCTTTCGGAAGAAAAGCGGAAAATGATACATAAATTGTGGTTCGCAATTTCCGTATCTTTTTCCAGTGGAACTTTGTAGTCTAGACATAGCCATTGACATGGCATCCTTCAGAAGATCCAAATGCGCCCGATCAGTTCAATCTCTCAACACTACATAGAAGCTAGTGTTGTTAGAATGGCATTACTGTACTACTATTATCATAGCATATTTTCATAAACAGGGCTCGACAAATTAGTCAATCTACTCGCCCAGGGCGAGTAGATTTTAAGCCGGCACGGCACTGCAGCACAATCAGTGCATACACAGCATGGTCTGCATATGTGCAGCATGCCAAACCGCGCGGCTGGTGAGCAGTGCTCGCTGCCGCTTGTCAAGCCCTGTTCATAAATGTGTAAAGTGAAGCAATAAGAGGCTCAAACTAAATGTATGCCCAAATTAAAAAAACAACAACAAAAGCAAAAAATACCATGAAGGTTAAATAGATAAAAGAGGCAGAGGCAAAAAAGACAACTTTTAAAACTGGAAGCCAAATCCTACCAACATAAACAGAAAGGAGCATAAACTTTGGCAAGTCAAGTGTAAAAGTATAATTAGGCAGGAAAAAAAATGAAGAGCAACTAGCAAAAGACACAAAATTACACAGCAATATTTTTTTAATTACATCAGAAGTTGAAAGCCTGCCAAACAATCATGAGGCAACCAGATGATCAAGGTGCACTCAAGGAAGGCAAAGCTATTGTGAAGAAGCTAAATTAATTCTTTGTATCAGTTTTCACTGGAGAAAATATGGAGGAGAGTCCCACACCTGGGGCATTCTTTTTAGGTAACAAATCTAAAGAACTATCCCAAATTGAGGTGTGAATATTAGGCAGGAAAAAAAATATTGCATTATTAAACAGTAATACATCTCCAGGACCAGATGGTATTCACCCAAGGATTCTGAAATTTCAAATATGAAATTGCAGAACTGAATTTCAAATATGAAATTGCAGAACTACTAACTGTAGTACGTTACCTATCATTTAAGTCAGCCTCTGTACCAGATAACTAGAGGACAGCTACTGTAAGGCCAATTATTTAATAAGACTTCAGAGATTATCCTCACAGTGGGGTTTAAAGCTATACAATAGGAAGCACTTCACACAATATGGAGCAGTGTTTCTTAAACTTTTTGAGACCACAGAACACCAAACAATAATATTTTTTATGTGGAACACCTATAAAAATTTTCTTTCCCCCAAAAATTGTTGTCAGACAAAAATACAAAACAACCAGGAGTTGGCAATATTAATAAGTTGATAAATGATTTAAGCAGATTTAAGAATAGTATAAGGAAGTACTTCACACAATACACAGTCAATTTGTGAAACTCATTGCCAGGGGATGTTGCAAAGGCCAAAAATATAACTGGGTTTAAAAAGAAATAAGTTCATGGAGGCAAGGTCCACCAATGGCTAGCTAAGATTATCAAGGATACAACCCCATGATCTGGGTTTTCCAAATCCCCTGACTGTCAGAAGCTTTGGGACTGGATAACGGGATGGATTACACATTCATTCCCTTGTTTTTTTCATTCTCTCTGATGCATCTGGCACTGGCCATTGTCAGAAGACATAATACTAGGTTAGATGAACCATTGGTCTGACCCAGTATGGTTATTCTTATGTTCTTAAAGTCTAAGCATTCTGATCTAAGGTTTCATAAAATGTGCATGGGTTCAACTATAGGGGTTAGATCTGTTCTACCACTCCATACATTGCATGGGATTGAAGTTATATACCTGAGATGTTTGAAAAACTGAGCTAATTCTGTTAGTACTTACACCTTGAAGGTGTAGCTTACTGCAAAACAAACTTGAAGTTTAGGCTTCTAAGCCACAAACACTCCCAGAAAGACATATGTAAAATAACACAGTAGAACTCAGTAAATGAGTAGTTGAAAAAAAAATTAAACAACACTAGTGGGCCTGCTGCATACCTGACTTTGAGTTTTTCAAGTTCTGCTACCAGCTTATCTATCTCTCTCTGTTTTATTTCATTTATTTTTACTTCTGCTTGGCATTTCTGGAGTGCGCGCCTCCTCTTCACATCATTCTCCTTAAGAAATTTGTCAAATTTAAGAGCTTGATTTCTGCTCTGGCAAAACAAAGCAAAAAAAAAAAAAAAAAAAAAGAGAGTGAGATATGACATATTTAATAAACCAATGCAACACTCCATTCAGGGAAGGGACTTTGTGTAAAATCAATGAACTGTGTGCACGTTCTGCTTGCTTATCCTTATTAACTGAAAGTTTTACAAATCTACAAAGATCTGGGTTTGTTTCCATTTATATTGCTATAGGATTAGGAATCAGATCCCCCCTAGGTATGGCACACCAACATTTACCTTGCTGCTGAACTTAGCCCTATGTGTTTTCCTGAATAAGCAGAGAGGAGGAAAGTCAGTCTATAAAGACCTCCATCCCTAATGGAGCAATATGAAAGTCATTCGTACCACTTTATGAACAAAGAGAATGAAGGAGAGCACATTGCTCTTGCTTGTGAAAAAGTGTACCAGCTTGCAGCTCTGGCCTGCTCGAACATGACTCTGCCAAGTGCTCAAATACACCACTGACTGCACGAAGCCCAGAAATAAGTGTGCAGATGTGGAAACCAACAGAACAGAATTCTGTTCTATGTGAAAAGACCAGGACTAACTCCTCAGGGACCCTGAGTGCTATCTTCTCATAACACAGATGGGAAATTATACTTACATCCTGCTGCTTTTTGGCAAACTGTGCTCTCTGCTTAGCCACTGCTTCCATCCGCTCTTTAAATTCCCGCCTCTTAGCAATCAGCTCTGCTGTGACATGATCAAATTCCACCTCTTTCTTCAGAATCAAGGTTTTTTGCAAAGAGTTTGCATCAGTCTCAAGAATCTTGCTGGGGGCCTGCAAGTGGAATTGGGTTTTCAAGTCAATAGAGGCACATAAATCCCTCTGAATTTCCCCTGGGTCTTGCATGAAAGCAAATTCAGTGCATCGTTACTTTTTGTCTTAATGTATTAACCAAAATAATATTTTCCCCCTTGCCCTCAAGATACAAATTAAAGTACGAAAAGAAGGATTCAAACAAGAACATGAATGCAGCAGTGTTAAGGCCAAGTCCTTATCCTATTAAGGCAAATGACAGAGCTTTCCTTGACTGCACTGAGGGCAGACAGTGGCCTGAGAGCTCCCAACTTGCCAAATCTGACAATAATGCTGGGAAAAAAATTCATATGGAGGGAAATAAGCTGTATCAGTTGAGGGACCTAATATCAGCTGGGCTATATTTATTTCCTCACAGACAACATTTTCTACAATCCAATCTTGATGGTAATGCAACACATACAAGACCTGATTCTCCATTGATGTAATCCAAGAATAACTCTATCCTGGCTAATGGAATGAGACTGGGATAAATGAGAGGAAAAACCAGAATTTACCATGTTGTATTAGATGCTTCGGCAGATGGATAAAATCCCATAAAGCGCACAATTGTTCAGTGCTGCATGTGAGAGTTATTCGTAGCATTTCTGAGGTAAATTATTTACAATTATCACTGATTGCCCCTCTCCCCCACAAATCTGAGGTTCTAACAAAATTAAATTTGATCTAAAATGTGGAGCTGCCATTATAATGAAGGAGAAGATGATAGTACAGTTCTGTGCAGCCGTTACGATGTGACAGGACATCCCAACTACAGAGATAATTAGCTGCAATAGAATGTCAGGTGTCACTACAACCTCAAGAGGTTTGGCATTGTTCTTAAAGAGACTTTTTCTTAGCCCAGTCCTGAAGCCATTACTAAATGCCTTCTCTACTTCTTATGGCATTCAACAGCCAGGTTCCGATTCAAGTCAATGGGAGTCATTCCTAATGAAAGATGTCAGGATTGGGCCTAAGGATGGTATCATGTAATTGACTTATCGAATAGTCGATGCATTTTGCATCGACTATTCGATTAGTCAATAGAGTTGTTAGAGTGCCTCTGCCTTTCAAAGGTGAAAGAGCCATGTGGAGCCTGGGGGCTGCTGCGGCAGTGTTTCAAAGTGTCAGTGCAGCACAGAGCCTACGGTCCCCCGCTGATCTCAGGCTCTGCATGACGCTGCCACTTTGAAACACTGCATGCAGCCTGGGGACACCCTACCTGGCCCCAGGCTTCAAGCGGTACTGCCGCTTTGAAGTACCTCCTTTTCTTCCCCCAACTTTTCTGCCTCTATTTGATAGAGGTAGCCGGGGGGAGGGAAGCAACTAGTCGACTAGTCCTTCACATCCCTGATTGGGCTTGCGGTTATTGGATGCTTGAAGCTGAAATTTGTTTCCTTACCAGAATATATTTTTTTCTGCTTTGCATTCCCACTGGTTTGTTACCGTAGGGTTGCTCATTGGCAACTTACCTTTGATATCTGTGTGTGCATGAAAAAGAACACAGAGGTGCTTTTGCAAAAGAAATTCCCCCACATAATGACGTGGCTTGGCCTGGCCACGGTTGAGAGTCCCACATCTGTACAGACCTCTTGTATCAGGTGTTTGCAGCATTCTTTCAAGGAACTTTCTTCCACAGTGTCATCACATCACCTCTGCAACTGATATGTGTTGCTGAGGTAATTTTCCTGAGGAAAAGAGTTTCTACATCTCACCCGTCCAGCCACCAAACTCAGATCCTACACAATGAGGGCCATACAATGCCCATATAGACAGACACAGGTGATCTGCATCTTGATGACACACACAGGGAAGGCTCTTGAATAATGTTCCCAATGGCCTTCAGCCACAAAAGAAGGAGACATAAAAAACCCATCTAACCTCTCTGATGATGGGAATATGAGTAACATCTTTATCCTCTTCTTCCCTGGGAAAACAAAGAGGAGTTACCTTTATATGGAGAAAATGAAGGACACATTTTTGATACGTCAAATCAGACTCACAGGCTGTGTCTAGACTGGCAAGTTTTTCCACAAAATCATCTGCTTTTCCAGCTGTCTACACTGGCCGCTTGAATTTCCGCAAAAGCACTGACGATCTCATGTAAGATTGTCAGTGCTTTTGTGGAAATACTATGCTGCTCCCGTTCGGGCAAAAGTCTTTTTCTGAAAAACTTTTGCGCAAAAGGGCCAGCGTAGACAGCAGAGATTTGTTTTTCGCGAAAAAGCCTCAATCGCAAAAATGGTGATCAGGGCTTTTTTGCGGAAAAGCACGTCTAGATTGGCACGGATGCTTTTCCGCAAAAAGTGCTTTTGCGGAAAAGCATCCTGCCAATCTAGATGCGCTTTTCCGAAAATGCTTTTAACAGAAAACTTTTCCGTTAAAAGCATTTCCGGAAAATCATGCCGGTGTAGATGTAGCCACAGAGTTTAGGTGCGTCCATACAGCAGATATGAGCTAGAAATAAGCTATGCAAATTGAGTTATGTCAATTGTGTAGCTTATTTCGAAATAGCTTATTTCAAAATTGGGAGCATCTACACAGCGCTTATTTCGAAATGGGGCACTCTTCCTCTGACTTCCCTTACCCCTCATACAATGAAGGTTATAGGAGTCAGAGTAAGAAGTCCCCCAGTTTGACAGTATTTCAACATTATTTTAAAATAACTGCCTGCTGTGTAGATGTGGACTAAGTTATTTCAAAATAATGCTATTTATTTCGAAATAACGTTGCTGTGTAGACGTACTCTTTAAGGCCAAAGGGACCAGCTGGGGGAGCCTGTTCTTCTGTACAGGCCACCCTGCACTTGCCCACTAACTCCAGCAAAGTATACGAGACTAAGGTAAATAAGACTCACAGGAGACCATTGTGTGCCACAGGCTGAATAGGAGGGACTGAGGCACTAATGCTCAAGGTCCCTGCAATGGCAGGAGCTGATTAAGTGACATGGACCCAGATAAAACACAGCAAGTGACCCATACCCACACGCTGCAGAGGAAGCAAAAACCTCCCAAGCTCACTGCCAATCTGACCTGGGGAAAAATTCCTTCCCAACCTCTCATGTGGGGATCAGTTAGACTCTGAGCACATGAGCAAGAGTCAACCAGCCAAACACCCGAGAGAGAGAATGCTCAGTGGCCTCTAGAACCTCAGTCCGTCCTGCCCAGTGTCCCATCTCCAGTCCTGGCCATCCGTGCTGCTTCAGAGGACAGAGAAAAAATTAGCTTCCCAGAATATATGGGGAGGGAGGAGAGAGGAGAACCTCTGCCAGTGCCTGAAACTATGACACGTGTTTTTAGGACCATAAACTGAGAGTCCCAGGGCTGCTCAGACTTCCCCCCACTATCACAAGCACCCAGTCACACAACTGCTTTCTGATTTGTCCATTTCTCTCTGGAAGAGAAGTTGTTTGCCTCCACAACTCCTTTTGTCAGGTTGCTCCAGAATCTCCCTTGTCTAGGGTTGCCAACTTTCTAATCACACAAAACCGAATACCATTGGCCTGCCAATTGTCCTGAGGCCCCGCCCCTTTTCTGAGGACCCACTCCCATTCACTCCCTCCCCACTACCTCTGTCCCTTGCTCTTTGCCACCCACACGCACTTTCCCAACTGGGGCAGGGAGTTGGGGAGCGGGGGATGGGTAAGGATTCCAGATGGGGCTGAAGGCTCCAGATGGGGCCAGATACGAAAGGTTCAGGGTGTGTGAAAGGGCTCCTAGCTGGTGCAAGGGGTTAAGGTGTGGGAGGGAATGCAGGATCCAGCAGAGGTATGAGCTCTGGGGTAGGGCCAAAGACAAAGGGTTTGGGTTTGGTGTAGGAGGGGGCTCAGGGCTGGGATAAGGGTTGGGGTGAGGAGGGAATTTGGGGTGTAGGGTCCTAGTGGAGCTTACCAGGGTTCCCAGGAAGCAGCCGCCCGGTCTCCACAGTCCTTAGGTGCATGGGGGGCCAAGGAGACTCTCCATACTGCCCTTGTGCCTGCAGGTACTGTCCTTGCCAATGGGAACTGTGGAGCCAGCACATGGATCGGGGGCAGCATGTGGAGCCTCTCTGCACCAGGGTGCTGCAGGGACATGGTGGCTCCTTCTGGAAGGGAAACTATAGCTGGAGGCCCTCTCTATACCACTGATTGGACTTTTAACGGCCCAGTTGCTGGTGCTCATCAGAGTCATCAAGGTCCATTTTTAACCACCCCTCGCCTGCTCAGATGTTTGGAAACCTTTGCATTTCCTGCATGAATTTGTTCTAGGGATGTGAGCGTGTATCCATTTAAACTATTAACTGATGAACCTAGGCGTATCAGTTAATTTTAAGTTACATGTGCCCCTCCACCCATACTGCCTCTGTTTCATAGATGGAGGGGGGCAAACACCAGCGCACATGGGCAGCTGGCTTTTCATCTGGCTCCCCATTGGTGCTGGCTCTCATGGAGCTGCATTCCCTCCCTCGCCATGCTTCTGCCTCCCACAGAGGCAGCAGCGTGAGGGGGTGGTGGCAGGTGGGAACTGGTACTAATGGAGGAGCTGCAGGGGGAATGTTGCCCTGTCTACACAGCCCCTATACTGAAATAACTATTTTGGAATAGGCGTTATTCTTCATAGGATGAGCTTTACAAAAGTCGGAATAAGCTGTCGGTTATTTTGAAATAATGGAATTGCTGTGTCGATGCTCACATAGTTATTTCAAAATAACGGCTGTTATTCCAAAATAACTTTGCCACGTAGACACACCCATTATGACAGCTAACACTCACTTATCACGAGGGCCATACCAAATTCATTGGGTATTTTGGTAAATTTCATGATAGGATTTTTAAAATCTTAAACTTTCACAGTTTCAGATACTTGAATCTAAAATTCCCTGGTGCTGTTACTATGGGAGCCGCAATAGAAGGGAGACTGCAATATTGAAACCCTGACTTCTGTGCTGCTGATGGCTGCAGAGGTGCCTTCAAAGCTGGGCTTCCAGACAGAAACTGCAGAGCTTCCTATAACTGGGAATAGGACTTGGGAATAGAATTTCCCATCTCTGCCCAGCCACAACTAGCAGCTGCCTAGCCAAATCTCCCCCAGCCATGCCCCTCTCTGGCTCTGGACCCAGCACTCGGGGTTAAACGGGCCTTGGGCTGGTTGTGGGGGGAGGGGGGGGGAGAGTGACCACAGTGCCCTGAGCAGTTGCCCATGGCACTCACCCTATCCTGCCCCCTCAAAAGTAATAACCCCTCATTCCATGCCACCCTCATTTCTGCTCTGCTGCTGGGAGTGGTACTACCTACAAAGCTGCGCACTCATCCACCAGCTGCAGTTCTCTATCCATCTATCTAGCTCTGAAGGCACCCCAGAAGTAAGGGTGACTATATCACGGCACCCTTACAGTAGCCATATTTCATTGAAGAGACCACATTAAATCAGGCAGAACAGAGGTCCCAGTCCATGACATTTTTCATGGCCATGAATTTGGTAAGGCCCTATTTATCACACAAGTGGTACAAGATTTTGCTATTTGTGCTTGAGAGTTTAGGTTCAATCCTCATTTTACATACATGATTGCACACAGTTAATACACAAATATAGCTACATGTGTCTTTAAATATACAGACATGGTTCACTGTGTAGCCATCCTGGATTAACGGTGAAGGAAGATGACTAGGTTTAAAATTACTAGATTTAAAATACCTATTTTTCTGTAAATCCACATGTTCAGACCCCAGTAGGGTAGACACTTCCTTTTTCTATTGCTGATAAATGGAGTTCAATGGTCTTTACAGCATTAGACACTCCTGAAAAAGACCACTTGTGTACACATGAAATGTTTCCTGGTCCTTCTCTTACAACTAGAAGTACAGGCAGTTCCCGGGTTACGTACAAGATAGGGACTGTAGGTTTGTTCTTAAATTGAATCTGTATGTAAGTTGGAACTGGCGTCCAGATTCAGCCGCTGCTGAAACTGACCAGGGGCTGACTACAGGAAGCCCGAGGCAGAGTTGCTCTGCCCCGGGCTTCCTGGAATCAGCCTCTGATCAGTTTCAACAGGCTGAATCTGGACACCAGTTCCAACTTACATACAGATTCAACTTAAGAACCCCAGGCATCCCCAAGTCAGCTGCTGCTGA